AAACGCACTAGACCATGGACGTCAGTAGGTTTTGGGCATTGGGCTTAGATGGGTGTAGATGAAACGCCGCAAATACCGATGGTTTCGGTACCGCACACAAAGGAAATGGTAAATACCATGGTTCCGCACCTGCAGAATTCGGCACATGAAGTAAGGCAAACACGGTAAATACCGATGGAATCGGTATGTCGGTTTTGCACATTTACAGCGTGATGGAGCCCACAACCATAAGAAAGGCAACAACAGCAACAGCAAGATCGACTTCAACAACAGCAACAACAGTAACAACGCCAACAACAGCATCAACAGCACCACCAACACCACTAACGATTACAGCATCAACCGCAAAAGCAGCAGCAACAACAACACTGTGAATATCAACAGCACCGACCCAGCAGGAGCAACAACAACACAAACATCTGCTCTGTTGTTCTCCGAGTGTCCCACCGAGCTGTTGTCAGGGTGAAAAACAAGGTTGCTTGGGCACTTCCGTAAGACCCATTCACGGCCTCAACATGCACCCATCGACGGCCTAACATATACTTTCGTGGCCGGACGCACTGACTGGGAGAAAGGATCAAAGCGCTTTAATCCAGGAGGGAGAAGCTTGCGTACTTATGTATTTTTACTATGAGTACAACAAGTACAATCATTGAAGCTATAAGTGCTGTTATGACTCTAGTTATCCATTAGTATGATTAGTACTATCATTACGATCATGATTCATATCACGGTCATTGCTATCATCATTGCTACTTCAGTCAGAGGTGTTGGTTTTGCAGCACTCGCCATGTCGCCCGGAAACAGCCGCAAAAGTTCAAGGGTAACCGCTGTGCCACAAGTATTGCTTGAATGATGATTAAAGAAGCTTGCGGCAGATCAGGGCAACATGTCTAGGACGGAGCCAGGCGACATTACCATGCCAGTTGCAGACATGCAGGTGTACAAGCTTTCGTTTCAACACAAGTCAATTGGAAACAAACGCCACGCTCCAATAGCGTCAAATCTTTTTCTACAGGCTGTCTCGGACAGAAGCCCCTCTTCCCCTCATTCGAGCAATCACCCCGTGGCTTCCAGTGCGCGTACACGGTCTCAAGGATTTCCTGAGTCAATTTAGGGGTAGAGCGGTGTTACACGACAAGCGATTGTAACGAGCACACACACCAATCAGGCATTTCTGCCAACATCAGAGACGAGCTTGGGATGAGCCCATTGATGCTGTGACTCGTCCGCATTGAGACGGAGACCGGCGTCACCATCTTGCCCTGCATGATTCTATACAGATTCATTTTTTCAATCCGCATTTGTGTGTGCGTGTGTTTGTTTCTGTTTGTGCACGTGCATGTGTGTTTTTTGTAGACATGTACATCTGCACTTTACGTCTGTGCGGACGTAGGTTCGCATCTTTGTGCGTCTGCATTTTCTGCTGGCCTACACGCTTGCATGTTCGTATGTATGTATGTATGCATGCATGCATGCATGCATGCATGCATGCATGCATGCATCTGTACGATATAGTAGTAGGGCTTAGGTCGAAAGGAGTTTTTTTCGGTTTGGGAAGGGTTGTTGGCACGCTTTCGTTGGTTTGGATGGTTCGGCGTTGCCCGTCCGAGGTGCTGTATCGCAGACAGTGGTGGTCTCAGCTTGTCACAGCTTTTGGAATCCGTCTGGCAGCGGGTCCAGGGTTTTTTGTTTAGAAGGTTTGGCAAAGCTTGGTTGGTTGAAAGGTTTGAAAGGATGGCCAAACTTTGATTCGGCCTAGGGCCTTGGTCCCTTGTCCCTGTGGTCCCTTGGTCCTCTGGTCCCGGTCCTGCTGCTTGGTGTCTAAACGCTGCGTTCCTCCCTGGTCCTGGTCCGAGGTCCCCCCTTCCTGGTCTCGTGTCCCCTGGCTGGCCTACTGTTTTGTTGTGTTTTTTTTTGAGTTTTTTGGGTTTCAGCATTAGTTCTATGAATCTTTATATGCGATTGCATCACCGATATCACGGCTTTTGCTCCTACTACCACGATGATGACATATTATTACTACTGTTGCTGTTTGTAGCCGTGCAAGCTCGCTTCAAGTATCGTCTTTCCAGCGAAAGCAGAACCCATATGGACCCTTTCAGAAGTCGAGATGCAGACTTTGTGTTTGCAAATCTGGGGGCCTGGACCCCCCCCACACCGAGTCGCTTTCTTCTTAAGCCGTGCAGGCTTGCTTTCAAGAACATCGCACCATCAAATAGAATTGTGTCAACTACATAACTCTTATATAGAACTTTTCAAAATTCATCAGACTGGTCTGACATTCTGTTGGCACCCCAACCCCCCTCCGTTTTTCTTTTAACCGTGCAATCTCGGTTCAAATATCATTCTGCCAGCAAGTACAGAACCTATATGGACCCTTTAAGAACCCGTGATAGAAACGTTATGTTTGCAAATTGCCGGGGGTTGTCCCCCCAACCCCCGCTTTCTTCTTAAGCCGCGCAGGCTTGCTTTCAAGAACACACGCCATCAACAAAAATTGCGTCAAACACATAACTCTTGTAGAGCTTTACAAAATTCATCAGATTTCAGTTCTGTTTGCCAATGGGGAGGGGCGCTGTGTCCGCCCCCTCACTCAGCCCCCATTTGTCGTTCAAGCCGTGCAAGCTCGCTCGCAAGTACAAAACTCATATCGACCCTTTCAGAACCCGTGGTAGAAACGTTGTGTTTGCCATTTGCCGGTGGTCGCGCTGTTTTCTCCTGAAGCCGTGCAGGCTTGCTTTCAAAAACATCGATTTCCCCAATAGCTTGCTGCAAAAGAAGACCCCATAAATGAGACTGCCGCAATAGCTTGCTGCAGAAGAAGACCACAGAAGACCCCACAAATGGCAATTACTTCCCCAATAGCTTGCTGCAAATCAAACTCAACGGACCCCTCTGCAAACCTGCTAAAAAACACTTTTGGCCAAGCCTTGAAAAACACTTTTGGCCAAACCTTCCAAACATTTTCCATTGTACGCTTAATTATCGTCTGGTGTTCTTGGTCCTATGCTGGCTTCTTTCTTGGACACGTCCCGTCACTAGGTCCGTTTCCCTCATCTCATCAGCTGTAGGATACATGCAACACTCCATAGCCACAGTCCGGGTACGCATTCCTTGTGTCTTGAGCAGCCAGCTCGCGATGAGCTGCACAGCGTCCATCGGCACGGACGGAAGGAGCAATCTTGCAAGCTCCTGAGGATCACACGGTGCGTGTGCCATGCACAAAATGTTCCGACGATTCTAGCATAGAATGTGAGCTCCAAACTTCATGTACTGTATAGCATATCTGCATGATCTAGCATCTAGCAGCTGCGCGCGAGAGTGAACCAAGCGTGGTCATGTTATGTTGCAATGCAGAAAACCATTTTGTGGCTCAGAGGAGTGTCCGCACGCTGCTCCACTTCGAATTGTTTTGCTGTTAGAAGTTTGGTCTCGCAGGAGGCCACATCCGTCGCGATGGCGCGACACCCAGATTCATCGGTCGCTTTGTGTAGATCCAATACGCTGCAGCAGAGCTTCAGCTCGGCAGTCCAAACTTGCAGACCTGTCGTTAATCTCCTCCCTCTACTTAACAATAAAGCCATTCTTGTATTGAATATTATTCTCGGAGAATGTTGGCTCGGGGATGCACCCAAGACTACGTAACTAGTTTAGAGTAGTTTTTACGAGGCAGACTCTCCTCCCCCTCCCCCTGCCCCCAAATACCCCTCCCTTCAGAGGAAGGATGCGGGTGCAGGTTGATCCGATGGGTCTAAAGGGTTGCGCTTTGCAAACTCACATCACGTTGGTGTTGACTGCTACGCAAAGAGAGCCAGTGTCTTGAACACGTGAGAAGGAATGACCACGGTATATACATGTAAGTGAGTTGCTATGCCATTGATGTGAGTAAGTAGTGCATTCAGACCGCCTGAGGGCGTCTAGACATTAAAGTCTCAAACAGACTCTAATTTTACCGAAAGCATAGCATGCCCACCTACGCGTACATGTCCTGGCCTCCCTTTCGTCAAGTGTAACGCGGAATCAAAGTCGGCTCTGAAAAACTGTCATCAACAACAACAAGTAAGCAACGCGCTTCCTTCATTTTGCATCATGTTGTGAAGCTCACATGTCGGAGAGATCTGTATATGATCACGTCCTTTGCGCTCATAAATGAATTAGTGCATTGTGTCTCCTGTTCAAGTGAGGACTTCGACACCTTTCTTTGGATCTCAGTTGTAGTGGGAAGTTTCGAAGTCGGCTGTGGCTTATGGTTGTCCATGTTTGCCACATAGTTTTCCGCAAGTCGTTGCGGGTGTGGCTCTTCGGGATCGGAATCTGCTCCCTGTGGGGTAGAATTGGTACTGGCTTTTGCACCTGCAGAGCTGTTAACCTTTGTCCTGTGCCTTTTCGTCGCGGGGCGAACGGGACGCTTCGGAACCACTGGTGTTCCATTGTACTTTTCTGAGTGCTGGGTTCCAAGGACTTTCATTGCGTCTTTCATCATCCGACGGCCATGATGTTTCTGTAACATCGCCACTGGGACTGAGCACATGTTCATGACGTGCACCCCAGTACGCTTGGCAGTTTGGATTCTCTCGCGGGTCCAATTCATCAGATTGACCAGAGGGTGACTGGTCTTCTTCCTCGTTAGAGAGATCATGAAATAGACTCTTGAGCACATTTTGCATGTGATCGTGGCGTCGCTGCAGATGGGAACAAGTTGCAATTTTTTCGTTGAGAGCACTATTCGGCTTGCAAAATATCGAAGGCGTTTGCTAGGAACACATCGCAGATGTTTCCACCACTTCGAAGCATTATGGCCGAAATTGAACATATTATGTCTGTGGACGTTGTGCTAAAGAGCCCCACAGCTAGTGGGGGGCACATTTGAAGTGCCCACCCATCCCACCTTGGAGATCGGCAAGCCAGAACTAGAGTTCTGCTCCGGGCGACAGGGGACCTGCGCTAGCTAGTGTACTTCTTCCTCTTCTTCGCCGTCGTCGTCCCATCAGGAGAATCATCGCCGTCTGGTGATGGAGGCTCCTTGGGAGGAGTCACACCTTGTGCGGTTTCAGGTGGAGGGTCCGTGTTCGGACCCATATGCTTGTGGTCGCGGTCATTTTCTCCAGTCGACCAGGAAATCCAGGATCCGACCACATTTTGCCAAGAAGGCTGTCTAGGTCCTGTTGCGCTTCAGCTTGGCGTACAAGCCTATTACGCGGATTTGGTGCCACATGTCTCCCAGATGGGAGAGCCAGTGGAGGCGGAGTGTCAGGTGGAGCGTTTACCGGTGTAGGCCCCGAGAGCGGGGCAGCTTGGCTCGTTGGCATAGCTGGTGGTGGCTTCTCCTGAACAGGAGCCCCATCCATGCTCCTCGCTCTCTCCGGTACGCTTGGTGAGGCGGTGTTAGGCGAGGGGGCGAGCCCAAGACAAAGACGGGCTCCACTACCAGAAAACTGCTCCCAAATACCCCTCCCTTCAAAGGATGCGATAGATCTGAAGGCTTGCCCTTTGTTGCGCGCTCACGGCAAGTTGGTGTTGACTGCTACGCAAAGAAAGTTCGTGTCGAGAAGCAACTTGAGAAGGAATGGCCATGCCATCGCTGTAAATATCTGTGTCTGTTTGCGTCTGTCTGGGTCTCTCCGTGTCTGTCTCTGTGCTGTTTCTGTGTCTGTCTCAGTGTGTCTCTGTGTCTCTCTGTGTCTCTCTG